CACTGATCTCCAGCAACTTCACTTTCTCATAATCTTCTCCTCTTGCTGCACATTCCTAAATAGAAGAAAAAAGCTGATACCTACAATTATGATACAAGCAGTAATTTGATTTACTTTAAATCAAGAAAGATCCAATTAATATCAAGCAATACTTTAATAGTTTGGTTTTTTTTTTTTTTTTTTTTTGAGACGGAGTTTCACTTGCTGTCTCCCAGGCTGAATCGAAGTGGTACACTCTTAGCTCACAGCAACCTCCACCTCCCAGGTTCAAGGGATTCTCATGTCTCAGCCTCCCAAGTAGTTGGGACTACAGGAACATGCTGCCATGCCCGGCGAATTTTTGTATTTTTAGTAAAGACAGGGTTTTCTGCCGGGCGCGGTGGCTCAAGCCTGTAATCCCAGCACTTCGGGAGGCCGAGGCGGGTGGATCACGAGGTCAAGAAATCGAGACCATCCTGGTCAACATAGTGAAACCCCATCTCTACTAAAAATACAAAACATTAGCTCGGCATGGTGGCACGTGCCTGTAATCCCAGCTACTCAGGAGGTTGAGGCAGGAGAATTGCCTGAACCCAGGAGGCGGAGGTTGCGGTGAGCCGAGATCGTGTCCCACTGCACTCTAGCCTAGGTAACAAGAGTGAAACTCCGTCTCAAAAAAAAAAAAAAGACAGGGTTTTGCCATGTTGGCCAGGCTGGTCTTGAACTCCTGACCTCAAGCAATCTGCCCACTTTGACCTCCCAAAGTGCTGGGATTACCGGCATGAGCCACTGTACCCGGCCCCTTTAATAATATTTAAAGGAAATTTGGGAATATACTATGGTATATAAGTGAGTACATGATATTTACTGACTGTGTATCAGGTGTCAGACCTTGTTTTAAATGTTTTACATGCATTAATTCATTTAAATCATAATTAACTCAAATAATTATTGCTATAGTCCCCGTTTTATTGATGAGAAAACAGAAGTACAGAGAAGTTAAATAAACTCACCCAAGGTGTTGCAGTTGGTAACAAGCAGGGCCAGAATTTCAATTCTGGCAGCTTGGCCTAAGAGCCAGTGTATTCAACCACTATGTTGTAGTGTTTTGATATAACAGAATGACTAAATAAATCACTTATGAAGATAGAATAGTTCCTAACCTTTTTCTTTTCTTCTTCCTGTAATTCCCACTCCAAACGAGCTTTTTTGGCTTCCCAATTTGCAGGTAATTTTAGTCTTTTATCTTCTTCCACAACTTCTTGGTGATTTAATTTACGAGCTTCATTCTAAAATTGTAACGTAAGAAGTGTGTCAGCTAAAACATGAAAATAAATCCAGATACATCTTATCTGCTGTGAGGAGGATCAGGCACGACATATTAATAAGGTGACCCCATTTATCCTAAAAGCAATAGAGAGCCATCACGGGATTTTAAGCTAGGGAATAGGCTAACATGGTCTACACTTTTATGCAGTCAAGAAAAATGTGTTGAGTTGCACTGGTTTGCTGTTCCAGAGCACTAGAGGCTAAAATCAGCTTTGCCTCTATGAGTTGTGTGATCTCTTTTTATTGCATCAGAACAAGGTTTCGAAATATGGGGGAACCATACTATAGTGGCATTTAAGTAGACTTTATTGGGCATTTAATAATATTAAATTAGCAGGGTAAGGTGGCTCATGCCTCTAATCCTAGCACTTTGGGAGGCTGAGGCAGACGGACCACTTGAGTTCAAGACCAGCCTGGTCAACATGGCAAAATCACATCTCTACTAAAAATACATAATTAGCTGGGCATGCTGGCACACAGCTGTAATCCCAGCTACTCAGGAGGCTGAGGCAGGAGAATCGCTTGAACCCAGGAGGCAGAGCTTAAGGTGAGCCAAGATCACGACACCGCACTCTAGCCTGGGTGACAGAGCAAAACTCCATCTCAAAAAAAGAAAAGAAAACAAAAGAATTACAGCATATGCTATGAAAGACACTCTAACTTCAATTCCTTTTTTTTGGAGACAGAGTCTCACTCTGTCGCCAAAGCCGGAGTGTAGTGAGTGGCACCATCTCAGCTCATTTCAACTTTTGCCTCCGGGGTTCAAACAATTCTCATGCCTCAGCCTCCAAGTCGCTGGGATTACAAGCATGTGCCACAATGCCTGGCTTATTTTTTTGTATTTTTAGTAGAAACGGGGTTTTGCAGTTTGGCCAGGCTGGTGTTGAACTCCTGGACTCAAGTGACCTGCATCCCTCAGCCTCCCAAAGTGCTGGGATTACAGGTGTGAGCCACTGCACTGGGCCTCAGTTATCTTTTAATCCTAATTCAAGAAAAAAGCCTCAGTTTGTTTACAGAATTTAACACCTATCTTCATGCCTCTAACCGTTTCCAAATTCCCCTCCTTTTTAAATATTTTAACAATTTACATTGACAAATGAAAAATGAAAGGAACTTTCCATTTGAAGTACCATTGAAGTGTCTTTTTTTTTTTTTTGGAACTGGGGTGTCCGGGAGAAGAGTCTATTTTTAAATAAACTTAATTGCATAAAACCAAAATGAGTATATCATCTTAAGGAAAACTTAAGTTAGACATTTAAACATTTTTTAGGTCATAAGCTGGTGACATTTTGTCCAGGAAGCCCTGTCTCCTAATTTCCAGACATGTGTTCCTTACACAATCACTCTAATATTTAAGCATGCCTTTTTAATTGTTTATTAGATTAATTTTTCCTAGGCAAAGAGAGCTACTCCTCCCAACTACCATCCCTAGTATATTCTTGGGTCTGGAAAAGCCCTCCAATCAAAGACACCAAGAACACACCTACAGTCAACAAAGTTGAGTTTGTTGCATAGAGGAGAGTAAACCACAGGGACCCCATGGAGATTTGAGTGACAGGGTGTTAGCAGGGGCTTATTCCAGTATTTGGGTTTGTATCAGGTGACTGGGGGGAGGGTTAAGGATCTGGATTGGGTATGGTCAGAAAGCAGGGGCATTCTACAATTAGGTATCTTAAATTTTTATACAGGAGGCAGGAGTAATGGAGTGAGACTAAAGTTGTATTTGGTAATAACAGTCACTGGTGTTAGCCAGATGAAAGAGATGTGTGGTCCTTTTTGTGATATGAAAAGTCTTCTTTGTCTCACTACAAGAGTCAGAGTGATTGTGGGATTTTGTGAAACCATGGCCTAGCTGCCAGGTCACTCCATGCTGAAATGGGGGCTGCTTTTCTCTTCCTCTGCTCCAACTGCAGCCAACTATTTGCTGGACTCTTATCCCTAATACAAATTATTTCTTTGCATTTGTTCCCTCTGCTTGGATATCTCTTTCTCCAACTCCTTTAGTTGTCTGATAATAATACACTTTTCAATCAGTAGTTTAGGTGTCACCTATTACATGAGGTATTCCCTGGCGACCCACAAACTGCATTCATCTCTCCTCTGCACTTCCAGGGCACTTAAACATCCGATTCCCTACCAACTGACTGAACTACCACGCCGTAGACTTTCAAAGGTTTGCTCATTATTTTTTTCTTTTTTCTTCTTTCCCCACAGAAGTCCTAGAGACAGATGATTTTCTTTCTTTCTTTTCAAACAGATTCTGACATAAAATTATTTTTTAAATAAAGTGAACGAGATCTCCTATTGACACCGTACAAGTTTCTTCCTCTCTCTAGCTCTACATATTTCCCTAGGAAAAAATGAAGAATTTGTTAGAATCACAGAGCAGAGAGGTTGTTAGTAATAGAGACTCCCAAACCTAACCCAGATACATTACATTGGATGTGCGTGGGAGGGGGGCTGGAGTGAACAGGTGTATTTTCAAATGTTCTCAGAATGATCCCAATGTGCTGCCAGGGTTGAGTACCACCGGATACAGCTTTCATTTCAGATGATCCCGTTCTGTGGGTCTGTCAGATGCAGTGGTGTAGCTTTCTCGCCCCATCTACAAAAGCGCCTGGCCCTGGCCAAGTGACCAATCTGGGCCGGCCTCCAAGACTACTCACCCGCTTCAGGTGCAGCTCCCGGAATTTGCGCAGTCTCTGTTCGCGCTTCTGAGCGGCCAACTCCGCCGCCGCAGCGGGGGACCCCTCCTCCACGCTGTCCACCAGCACCTGAGGTGAGGAGAACTGGCTTCAGGCAGAGGCGACTCGGCTTCTGCCGGGACGGCCCAGGCCGAGTCCCCGCCGGCCCGGACAGGCTGGGCCTAAGGTGTCGACTGCCGACTCGACCCCACAGTGTCTGCGCCGACCTGAAGCGAAACTAGACTTCGCCTCCACCTCTCTCCCAAGCCGCTCCCTGAACCCTCACCAACAAAACCCCCGGTGCGGGGTCGTCGAACTCACCTCGGATGCAGCTACAGCCGCCATCGCAACCTCTCTTCCCACTTCCGGCAACAACACAGAGCACTTCCGTCAATCTTCAGACAACCAGGCCGAGACGTATTAAAGACTACCATAAGCCCCGCCCCTTCCGGGCGGCCTCCGGAAGTTGGAACCGTTTTAGCTGTGGAATGTTTCGGGTTGTGCAGGGTCTTGCGCCGCCACGGAAAGCAACTGGGGCAAGGACGGGTAGATGAGTCGCCAAGAAAAGAATAGGACAGCTAGGAAGAAATGACCAAAAGGACCCTGGTAGAAAATCATCTACTCTGCACGGTGTTCCTGGAAACCGCCTTTGCAAAGACAGTGAGAGAAATCTAACATGGCTCACTCCATCTTGCCTCCAGCCTCGCAGGCTGGCTGTCTTCGGTCATTCCTGGGCATAAGCCAAGCTAAACATGGGAGAATTTATAGTTTAACTTTTAAGCAAGGATGATCATAGTCCCTCCCTTAAACGGGCCCCCTCCCTGTTCAGGGGCTGAAACTGTCTGTGTAAAACTAATGAAAGATCAGGAGGTTAGGATTCCGAGAGTGCCCTGAATTCTGCTAAAATGTACTTGAACGATAACCAGCTATTGTTTCGGAGGACATTGGATGTGTAACTTCCCCAATTACTCCTGTAGTTAACGTCCTTATTGTAGAACTTAAGGTTAGTCTTTTGAGGCATTCTTCAGACTTTTCGCATTCTGGCGACTAACTGACCCCACCCAGACTCGTGACTCAAGACCCAATCCTTTCTTCTGCCCCAGTCCTCCACCCAGAGGCGGACTCAGGGTGCTGCTAACTGGGCGGATAGCATCTCCAGCCAGTCAGCCGCACCCATTCCCTACTGCCCTCCCACACCAAACTGAAAACCCTAACCTCTGAGCTGAACCTTCCGGAAAACACTTGAGTGGTAACTCTTCGTCCCTGAGGCCAGCCTCACGTTAATACAACTCTATTTCTGTAGCATTTAGTGTAGTGCTAAGCATTAGGGACTTAGTGAATTGGTTTTGTCAGCAGCGGGCTGGAAGAACCTGGGTGGGATTCATTCCCATGAGTAGAAATTTCTTTCCATTTAGAGCTTAGCCTATTGTCACCTCCAAGAAGCAGGTCTTGGCCAGGTGTGGTGGTTCATGGCTGCAATCCCAGCACTGGGGGGCCGAGGCCGGAGGATTGCTTGAGCCCAGGAGTTCAAGACCAGCCTGGACAACAAAGTGAGAGTCTCTAAATTAAAAAATAATAAAAATAAATTTTTAGGCCGGGCGCGGTGGCTCACGCCTGTAATCCCAGCACTTTGGGAGGCCGAGGCGGGTGGATCACGAGGTCAAGAGATCGAGACCATCCTGGTCAACATGGTGAAACCCCATCTCTACTAAAAATACAAAAAATTAGCTGGGCATGGTGGCGCGTGCCTGTAATCCCAGCTACTCAGGAGGCTGAGGCAGGAGAATTGCCTGAACCCAGGAGGCGGAGTTTGCGGTGAGCCGAGATCCCGCCATTGCACTCCAGCCTGGGTAACAAAAGCGAAACTCCGTCTCAAAAAAAATAAATAAATAAATAAATAAATAAATTTTTAAAAAATGGTCGGGCGCGGCGGCTCACGCCTGTTAATTCCAGCACTTTGGAAGGCCAAGGCGGCGAATCACGAGGTCAGAAGTTTGAGACCAGCCTGACCAACATGGCGAAACCCCGCTCTACTAAAAACACACCATAAAAAAAAAAAAAAAAAGCCGAGTGTGGTGGCGGGCGCCTGTAATCCCAGCTAGTAGGGAAGCTGAGGCAGGAGAATTGCTTGAACTCGGGAGGCAGAGGTTGCAGCGAGCCGAGATCCTGCCATGGCACTCCATCCTGGGCAATAAGAGCAAGACTCCATCTGAAAAAATAAATAAATAAAAATAAGTAGGACTTCCCTGACTACCCTGTCTCACTTTTAGTACTGTCATTTGACTACTTTAACTCTTTTTTTTTTTTTTTTTTTTTTTTTTAAGATGGGGCTTCACCATGTTGGTTAGGCTGGTCTTGAACTCCCATCTCAGGTGATCCGCCTGCCTTGGCCTCCAAAGTGCTTGGATTACAGGCATGACCCACCACGCCCGGCCTTTAATTCTCTTCAATTGCATAAGTTTTCTTTTTGTCTGTTCATTTTTCATTTCCTTCATCAGCATTATTACTGGAGAACAGCAGGGTCCGCCTGTCTTGTTCACTCTTACCTGCCCAGTAGAGAGGCAATGCCAGCATTAATAACAGTGCTAAAGTTAATAAGGTAATTCAGTCAGGTGCTGAATACAAGAGGAATACATGAAAATTATTTTTTTTTTTGCACTAACAACTACTAGTTAGATGTAGAAATGAAAAAGGAATCCCTAAAAAGAAAAGCTATATAGGTACGAAGTTTAAATGGTAACATAAACATAAAAATAATTTGAATTAAATCTGAATAAATGATGGATAACCTATTTTCTAGTTGGAATACTTAATATCGTAAAAACGATATCACAAAGGAGCATCTCATATGAGTTTTTGGGCGTTTTTTGTGTTTTTTTATATTGCGTTTTAGGTTTTGGGGTACATGTGAAGAACATGCAAGATTGTTGCATAGGCATATACATGGCAATGTGGTTTGCTGCCTTCCTCCCCATCACCTATATCTGGCATTTCTCCCCATGTTATCCCTCCCCAACTCCCCACCCGCCACTGTCCCTCCCCTAGATCCCCCCCCAAACAGACCTCAGTGTGTGATGCTCCCCTCCCTGTGTCCATGTGTTCTCATTGTTCAACACCCGCCTATGAGTGAGAACATTCAGTGTTTGATTTTCTGTTCTTGTGTCAGTTTGCTGAGAATTATGGTTTCCAGGTTCATCCATGTCCCTACAATGGATACAAACTCATCATTTTTTATGGCTGCATAATATTACATGGTGTATATGTGCCACATTTTCCCTGTCCAGTCTATCATCGATGGGCATTTGAGTTGGTTCCAAGTCTCTGCTATTGTAAACTGCTGCAATGAACATTCGTGTGCGTGTGTCCTTATAATAGAATGATTGATAATCCTTTGGATATATACCCAGTAATGGGATTGCTGGGTCAAATGGAATTTCTATTTTCAAATGAGTTTATTAATGTCATGTTATTCCCATCAGAATCTCAATGGGTCATTGTTTTTTGTTTTTTTGGAACTAGAAGATAATGTACCAAAAATCTTAACGTTCAACAACACACTGTGTTGGTAAGGCCGAAGAAACATGAATCCTACACATATTGGTGGTAGGACTAAAAATTGACTCAACCCCTAGGGAAGGCAATTTGGCAATATCTGTAAATTAAGGCATTTACTCTTTGACTCAGTTCTCGTAATTCTGGGAATTTGTGTTACAGATACAATTACACATCTGTGAAAGGAAAATAAATCTTGGGACCCCAAAGTCACTAAACCAAAGGGAAAAGTCAAGCTGGGAACTGCTTAGGGCAAACCTGCCTCCCATTCTATACCTTAAAAAGCCACTAAGATAGAAAAGCTACATACCTTCCTCACAAGGAATTTCCCTGTGAACAAAGGACAGACAAAGGCAGGCAGATCACCTGAGGTCAGGAGTTCGAGACCAGCCTGACCAACATGGTGAAACACCATCTGTACTAAAAATACAAAAAAATAGCCAGGCTTGATGGCAGGCGCCTGTAATCCCAGCTACTAGGGAGACTGAGGCAGAAGATTTGCTTGAACCCCGGAGGTGGAGGTTGCAGTGAGCAGAGATCGCAGATCACACCACTGCACTCCATCCTGGGCGACAGAGTAATATTCAATTCTAAAAAAAAAGTTATCTGTTTTGGGGGTATAATAAGATATATGTACTTTTGAACCATGTAAGTATTTCAGCCAGACAAGGTGGCTCACGCCTGTAATCCCAACACTTTAGGAGGCTGAGGCAGGCAGATCACCTGAGGTCAGGAGTTCAAGACCAGCCTGACCAACATGGCAAAACCCAGTCTCTACTAAAAATACAAAAAAAAATTAGCCGGGTGTGGTGGTGGGCACCTGTAATCCTATCTGCTGAGGAGGCTGAGGAAGGAGAATCACTTGAACCCAGGAGGCAGAGGTTGCAGTGAGCCGAGATCATGCCATTGACTTCAGCCTGGGCAGCCAGAGTTGAAACTCCATCTCAAAAAATACATAAATAAAATTTTTAAAAAATTTAAATTCAGGCCAGGCACAGTGGCTCATTCCTATAATGCTAGCACTTTTGGGAGGCTGAGGTGGGTGGATTGCCTGAGCTCAGGAGTTCGAGACCAGCCTGGGCAACATAGCAAAACCCCATCTTTAAAAATAATAATAATAATTTAATTTAAATTCTAAAAATGATTTTAAAAGTTTGTATAGGCCGGGCGCGGTGGCTCAAGCCTGTAATCCCAGCACTTTGGGAGGCCGAGGCGGGTGGATCACGAGGTCAAGAGATCGAGACCATCCTGGTCAACACGGTGAAACCCCATCTCTACTAAAAATACAAAAAATTAGCTGGGCATGGTGGCTCGTGCCTGTAATCCCAGCTACTCAGGAGGCTGAGGCAGGAGAATTGCCTGAACCCAGGAGGCAGAGGTTGCGGTGAGCCGAGATTGCACCATTGCACTCCAGCCTGGGTAACAAGAGCGAAACTCCGTCTCCAAAAAACAAAAACAAAAACAATACAATAAAAGTTTGTATAGAAAAACTGAGAATAGTCAACAGTATGTGTAAATAAAAAATAGAATCACTGGAGCTCAGAAGTTCAAGACCACCTTGGGCAACACAGTGAGACTCTGCCTCTACAAAAACTTAGAAAAATTAGCTGGACATGGTGGTGTACACCTGTAGTCCTAGACACTTGGCAGGCTGAAGTGAGGGTTTACTTGAGCCCCAAGGAGTTTGAGGCTGCAGTGAGCTATGATCATGGGACCACACTCCAGCCTACTCAACCAAACGAGACACTGTCTCAAAAATTAAAAAAAAAAAAAATAGGAGGGGGCTTGTCTTATGAGGAATTAAAACTTAATAAATGTCTTTAGTAATGAAAAAAATATGATACTTGCACAGGAAATGACATATAAATCAACAAAACAATATAAAATTTATAATGAGATTCGGTGGAAAAGTGATGCTTCATAGAATACATAGTGCTTGCATGATTTGCCTAAATCTGCACAAAACAAAACTAGTTTCCTGTAGAATATGGACAAACAACATCACCAACAGTCCAGAAATGAAAATGAAAACAGTTGTATGTGGTTTTGTGCCTCTCAGATTGTCCAGGAAATCCAATAGTTATTGGGGATGAGTCGTGCTTGTAACCTTATTTTACTGCTATTAAGAATCCTGGCTGAGCACGCTGGCTCAGGCCTATAATTCCAGCACTTTGGGAGGCCAAGGCAGGAAAATCCTTTGAGCCTAGGAGTCGAGGACCATCCCTGGCAACATAGCGAGACCTCATCTCTACAAAATAAAAAAATTAGCCAAGCATGGTGGCCTGCCCTGAAGTCCCGGCTACTTGAGAGGCTGAGGTGAGAGGATCCCTTGAGCCTGAATGAGGCCTGATCATACCACTGCGCTTCAGCCTGACACCCTGTCTCAAAAAAAAAAAAAGTTCTGTTCATTCTTTTCTCTGTTCCTGCCAGTAAAATTGAGCTCTATATTACCAATTTGCTTATATTGCCAATTAAAATCTGCAAGTCTGGCCTTAAAAAAATGTAAATGTTCAACTGGGCATGATGGCTCCTGCCTGTAATCCCAGCACTTTGGGAGTCCGAGGTGGGTATATTACAATGTCAGGAGTTCAAGACCAGTCTGACCAAGATGGTGAAATTCTAATAAAAAATACAAAAATTAACCGGGCGTGGTGGCAGACATCTGTAACCCCAGCTACTTGGGAGGCTGAGGCAAAGAATTACTCTGCCAGGAGGCAGAGGTTGCAGTGAGCCAAGATTGTGCCACTGCACTCCAGCCTGGGCAACAGAGCAAGTCTCCATCTCAAAAAAAAAAAAAAAGTAAATATTCATAATTAAATAAAGAAGTTTCTGGAAGTGATAAAAGAGAAGGAATACAGAAAGGAAAGAATATTATGTGTGGTAAAAATTGCTCAACAGCTAATTTTATAAGGATATATTAAGAATATTCACATGATTTTCAACCTTGCTTTTCTGTGCAATATAATTTGTGTGATTTTTAAAAACTGGGCCAGGTGCAGTGGCTCACGCCTGTAATCCCAGCACTTTGGGAGGCCAAGGTGGGCAGATTGCCTGAGCTCAGGAGTTGGACACCAGCCTGAGCAACAGGGTGAAACCCCATCTCTACTAAAAATACAAAATATTAGCCAGGCGTGGCAGCGTGCACCTGTAGTCTTAGCTACTCGGGAGACTGAAGCAGGAGAATCGCTTGAACCTGGCAGGCGGTTGCAGTGAGCTGAGATCATGCCACTGCACTCCAGCTTGGGCGACAGGGCAAGAGTGTGGCTCATGGAAAAAAACTGTTCTGAACTGTATCATTTATCTCTTGTGGCATAACAAATCACTCCAAAACTTGGTACCTTAACACAAATATTATTTTATTATTATCTCTCCTAGTTCTGAGAATTGGTGGGGTTCAGCCAGGTGGTTTTCGCGCAGGGTCTCTCATGCAGTTGCAGTCAGATTAGGGATTGGGGCTGGAATCATTGTGCAGGTTTCCTCACTCAGAAGTCTGGTGGTTGATGTTGGCTGTCTGCCTAAACACCCACACCTGGCCTCTGCATTGGCCTGGAATTCCTCAAAGCATGGTGGATGGATTTTAAGAACAAGTATCCCAAGAGAACTAGGTGGAATCTATTTCACTTTTTATGACTTAGTCTCAGAATTCACACAGTGTCACTCCCTCCATAGTCACAGACTCAAGGATTAGGGACACAGACTCTACTTCTAGATGGAAGAAGTGCCAATGTCACATTGTAAGAATAGCACATAGGATGGAAGATCTTCCAGCATCTAGAAAAATTCAATTAGACATATCACTTGTTCTGTTCTTTGTTAATAACTATGTACAAATATAATTTGAAAGATTGGAACCGAGTCAAAAAAAATAAAAGAAAAAAATAAGACTCCAATTTTTTTAATTGTAGCCATGTTTTGTTGAAAAACAAAAACTGTGCTAGATATTTTCTGTCTGCCCTGTTAGAACTACTCTTCACTGGTCTCCATGTTCTGTGCCCCTGAGTGCTGGCCTGAATGGACTGCATCAGTAAACTCCTGCCCTCTACGTTCTTGGGTCCTGCCAATGCATGGTACCTGTGGAAGAGCAGAGGTTTGGAAGAAATGAGGTCAAGGTGTTTATTCCCTGGCTGGATTATGGATTTGGTATATTTCTGTAGTCACCACTTCTGTCTAAAGACTTTTATCCCTTCACCTTCTGGGTTCCCATTGCTGCTGCCTTCTTTTGCCTCTTTAGGAACAGTAGTAGTGATGGATCCCCCTATTGCTATTCCTGGCATGCTTCACTCTTTGGTTTTTCTTAGTCTACAACTTTGTAAGCGGTCCCTTTATTAAGCGCTCCCTAATTACTTAGAGTATGTAAGCCTGGTAAGACTTTCAAAACCTGTAATTCTGATGTGATCTCATTAAAAAATAATTTTATAATTTGACTTTATTTTTAAGAGACAGGGTCGGTCAGGCACGGTGGCTCATGCCTGTAATCCCAGCACTTTGGGAGGCCGAGGCAGGTGGATCACAAGATCAGGAGTTCGAGACCAGCCTGGCCAAGATAGTGAAACCCCGTCTCTACTAAAAATACAAAAATTAGCCAGGTGTGGTGGCATGCACTTGTAGTCCCAGCTACTCAGGAGACTGAGGCGGGAGAATCACTAGAACCCACGTGACAGAGGTTGCAGTCCAGCCTAGGTGACAGAGCAAGACTCCGTCTCTTAAAAAAAAAAAAAAAAAGACACGGGGTCTCACTGTGTTACCCAGGTTTGTCTCGAACTCCTGGCCTCAAGTGATCCTCCGTCCTCAGCTTCTTCCTCCTGAGTAGCTGGGATTACAGGCATGAGTCACCATGCCTGGTTTATAATTGACATTTTTATATTCTTAAAGACTGTAAATACCTGTAAGATTGTTCTGTCAATCTATAACATAGAAAAAACAACCTGTTACTCTGCTACATTTGCTTTTTTTTATTTTTTAGAGACAAGGTCTTGCTTTGCTGCCCAGGCTGGGGTGTAGTAGCACAATCTTGGCTCACTGCAACCTTCGTCTCCCAGAGGATCCTCCCACCTCAGCCTCCCAAGTAGCTGCAACTACAGGCACATGCCACCATGCCCAGCTAACATATCAATTTTGGGGGAGTTGCAGGGTTGGAGGTAGAGACTGGGTCTTGCTCTGTTGCCTAGGCTGGTCCTGAACTCGTGGCCTCAGATAATCCTTCCACCCCAGTCTCCCAAGTGCTGGGATTACAGGAGTAAGCCACCATGCCTGGCCAAATATTTGCCATTTTATTAGAGGTTAAGAAACGTCTCATTTAAATGAACTACATTAGGCAGGGTCCAGTGGCTCACGCCTGTAATTCCAACACTTTGGAATGCCAAAGTGGGCGGATCACTTGAGGTCAGGAGTTCCAGACCAGCCTGACCAACATGGTGAAACCCAGTCTCTACTAAAAATACAAAAATTAGGCGTGGTGGCGGGCCCCTGTAATTTCAGCTACTCAGAAGGCTGAGGCAGGAGAATCACTTGAACCCGGGAGGCAGAGGTTGTAGGTTGTAGTAAGCTTAGATTGCACCACTGCACTTCAGCCTGGACCCACTGAGCGAGATCCGTCTCAAAAAAAAAAAAAAAAAATTAGCTACATTAAACAAGCAATTCCACATTTGTTTAATCACGTTTATGTTAAGTGCTGCAAAGAAGAAAATGTATGAAGAGATGTAACGGGGAAATGACTTTTCAAGTCGTGAGCCGGCTTCCCTGAAGAAAGGCATTTAAGGAAATCTGAGGAAGGAGGAGGACACGTCTGCCTCCAGGTTTTTGTTTTGTTTTGTTTTTGAGATAAGTTCTGTCACCCAGGTTGACGAAGAACCTTGCTCTCAGCATCCTCGAATCTCCTGCACAGGTCCAAGTCTCTCCACCCAATGCGCCTGCGCACAGACCTAGCCCAATCGGACACAGCCCAGGGCTGCCAGGGGCGGGGCCTGCCTTCTCTGCTCTAGAGCTCCCCCTAGGAAGGGCCAGGTTACCTCCGAAAAAGCGCGCCGGCCTGGTAGCCCCGGGGTTGCACTTGTTACCGGAAGTGGGGGGAAGCGTTGCCAGGGGATGGCGGAGACGATGACTAAGATGGGTGGCAGGACTTTGCCCGGGGATGACTAGCTGGGGCGTTTGCGGCTAAGTCTGTCCTAGAGGAGGCGATGCCAGGGGCGAGGGAGGCGCTGACAGTGAGGCTGGATTGACGGCGGAGGCCCTAGGCCAGGGCTGTCCGGGAAGCCGAGCCTCCCCGCCTGAAGAACCTCCTCCTCACGGCGCCCAGAGCCACGAACGGAGACTGCACAAATCCCGGCCGCTGCACCGGAAACGGATGCATAGTCTCAAGGCCGGCTCAGACTTGCCACCTGGCCAAACACGAGTTTGTCATTTGTAAAGAGATGTTCTGATGTGTTTTCACATTTATGTGTATATTACTCACTTGTCTTCTATTTAATGTGTGAAGCCTACTGGACTTAAAATTCTTAGCTACAAACGCGTGAGTCATTGTCGTCTTGAAATTTGTGGTACCTCTGGCTTGACCTAGAGTTGAACTTGGGAGCTTCAGAGGTAGGATGCTAATTTTTTTTGCAAGCTATATAGTGAAAGGAAGGTGACAATGGCTACTGGAAATTCACCCCGGTCCCTCTTCCCCAGCAGTGGTCACAATTACAGGTATTTTCCTGTTCCATGCTCCGTTGCACAGCTCAGGTCCATTTACGGAGACAAACCCATGGAGACTGATCTCTAGTGGCATTCTGTAAAATGCCATCTTTCAAAAACCAAATATCCTTATAAGAAAGTTAAAACGTTTGATCAAACTATTATTTTAGGCCAGGCAGTGGCTCAGGCCTGTAATCACTACACTTTAGGGCCGAAGCAGGATTGCTTGAAGCCAGAAGTTTGACACCAGCCTTAACAGAGACCCCACTCATCTCTACAAAAAAAAAAAAAAAAAAAAATTAGGCAGGTATGATTGCATAAGCCTGTAAGGTACAGGCTGAAGCAGGACTGCCTGAGCCCTGGAGTTCAAGGTTGCAGTTGGCTGTGGCTGTTCTACTACACTGCAGCCTGGGTGATGAAGCAAAGACTCCACCTTTAAAAATTAGTCTATTTACCTATAAAAATCGGTCTTATTTAGACCCGCTGTCTAGCCTTTCCAGTTCTTAGTGTAATGCCCACTTAAAATGTTTTGTGCTTAAGATCCTTCCCAGTCACAGTAGCACTAAGAAATTTCAAATTAAGAGTTTAAGCGATTTTTCAAGTTGAAGTATTGACTTCAATTGGGAAGAACTGTTAAAATTCAGTTTCAAATTCAGCAGGTCTAGGGTACGGACTTGAGATTCAGCAGTCCTCAAAACCCCAGGTAGGGCCACTCAGCCTTGGACTTGGGATTAACAAGGCTTTAATCAACAGATGTCTCCTTGTAAAGACTCATTAGGTCATATATATACGACAAAGACTTTTAAGTATGAAAACAAGAAATTTATTAAATATAGAAAACAGCAATACAGTTCAATACTGTGTCTAAAAAATTTCACTTTTACATAAGCAATAGTATTTACAACTTATACAAAAGACTCCCACCTGTGCATAACCTTTGGTCCATTTGTGCTATCTCATATCTGCAAGAGAAACCTAAAAGGTTAATATTTGAGTATTAAGTATTTACATCTTTTTGTGTTGGTTTTTAAATGCAGGATTACCCTTAAATGGCTCAAAGGGCTGAGATAATGCTAGAAACACTAACTTGGAGTAAAGTGCAGTTTTCATGCAAACTTAGCCATTAGTTTTTCTCCTTTTAGACAGGTATCCAGAGTCCATATGGACTTTTTTTCTGATCTATTTTTGGTAATCTTGAAGATGTCTCTTCTGTGGCAGCTTTAGCTGGTTTTTGTATTGGCTTTGCTACAGAATTCTGTAAGAAAATAAATTCAGTCAGCTTTCCAAACACATATATTGTACATATTTTTTCACAAAAAATATATCAAATAATGCCATGTATGGGCCTTAGAGATATTATCAACCAAATGCAGTGTGGGCCCTAATTGTAGGATGATTCAAACCGTAAAAAGATAATGGGGTAGGGCCGGGCGCGGGGGCTCAAGCCTGTAATCCCAGCACTTTGGGAGGCCGAGGCACGTGGATCATGAGGTCAAGAGATCGAGACCATCCTGGTCAACATGGTGAAACTCCATCTCTACTAAAAATACAAAACATTAGCTGGGCATGGTGGTGCGTGCCTGTAATCCCAGCTACTCAGGAGGCTGAGGCAGGAGAACTGCCTGAACCCAGGAGGCGGAGGTTGCGGTGAGCCGAGATCACGCCATCGCACTCCAGCCTGGGTAACAAGAGTGAAACTCCTCAAAAAAAAAAAAAAAAAAAAAAAAAAGATACTGGGGTAGTGGGGAGACACCAGATACATACATGGTATAAAGACTGAGTCTTTGTTTTTGAAACTTATTTTAAAACATTCTGATTAAGGAGTATTCTAAATATTTACCTTTAAAATATCTCAACATAAAAAAAGTGGGGGCTACTTAAAACAATGGCAAAATAACAAAACTCATGTGAAAGACACGGTATGAACCCATTATAATGGTTACTTGTAAATGTGGCTCAAAAACAAATGATTTTAATTCTATTTAAAGTGTCAATAGTCCCCCAATTATCAGCACGGAAATATAAAACACAAAGATGCAAATGCAACCTAAATCCAATTTTTGAGTGATCAATGCTTGGACATACTTACATTAGAGCTAAAAGCTATGCTTCTTTGCTGGGAAGATTTTTCATTGGGATTTCTAGTTCCATCTTCTATTACCTTTTCCGACAGCTAGACAGGTTAAGAAAAAGTATAATTTTAAAACACATAACCTTGGTTTCTAAGTACAATATTAAAAAAATAGGCTAATTGTATACACAATTTAGTTGTAGACAAAAATCAAGTTGGATCTAACCATATATTTAACAGCCTAAATACAAACTGAGTTTTCCCCTTAACAAAATTGATTTAATAGGCTTAAGACACTCTTCCCATAATTATTTATTTCCTTGCTGGCAAATTTAAGTAATTTAAAAAACAATTTTTAAATCAGTTTTCTCAGGTTGAATCAATTTAACTTGAAAAGTAAAGCCACACCAGAAAATACCTAGTTTTAAGAAACTAAGGCATTTGCCAGTTGGGCCCCTAATCATCTGAACAAGACAGACCCTGTCTACTAATACTGAGCATACTCACATCTGGGCCCAATTACAGGTTCATTTAGATATCTTAGAATCTTTTTTTCCTGAGACAAAGTTTCACTCTGCCCTGCTGACCAGGCTGGATGGAGTACAGTGGCATGATCTTGGCTCACTGCAACCTCCACTTACTGGGTTCAAGTGATTCTCCCACCTCAGCCTCCCCAGTATCTGGGACTACAGGCACACACCAAGCCTGGCTAATTTTTGGTTTCTGTTTTGGTTTTAAGAGGGAGTTTCACTCTGTCCCAAGGCTGGAGTGCAGTGGTGCAATGAATGTCGCTCACTGCAAACTCTGCCTCCCAGGTTCAAGCTCTTCTCCTGCCTCAGCCTCCCAAATAGCTGGGACTACAGGCACGTGATGCCACGGCCAGCTAATTTTTGTATTTTTAGTAGACATGGAGTTTCACAATGTTGGCCAGGCTGGTCTCGATCTCTTGACCTCATGATCCACCTGCCCTGGCCTCCCCAGAGTGTTGGAATTACAGGTGTGAGCCACTGCACCTGGCTGCAATCTTTGTACTTTTAGTAGAGGCAAGGTTTTGCCATGTTGGCTAGGCTGTTCTCAAACTCCTGACCTCAGGTGATCCACTCACCTCGGCCTCCCAAAGTGCTGGGATTATAGGCGTGAGCCACCCAGCCTAGACAGAGTATCTTTATAACTTAAAAGTACAGTGCAATTTGCTAATGCACATCCTGCACATTTCTGGAGAATTATAATAAACTTATCTGCAAGTGAAGCAGGCCTCCTCTTCTGTAATCTCTCAAAACATCTGGAATATATTGCATATATTATGAAAGGGACATCTATTTCACAGATGCCCCACCATTACAATGTGTACCTTTACTTAATTTAAAAATTGACTTTAATACTTTAGGCAAATGGTACCTGTCCCAAATTCTAGCATGCACATGGATCAACAAAAAGAACTAAGCTTTCAGTGTGTGAACATAAACTTCAAGTTAAACCTGATGCTTTAGCCCATGTATCAATTACCAACAGATTTTCTTCATCAATGTCTGCAGACCACATTCATGATTTCTATAAGACAGAAATAAAGCAGATAAACTATACTGTATATGCTCAGTACAAAATTTGTGGGAACATAATGCTGCAAATGAAAGCTACAAATATTCTAAAGACTAACTTTAAAAAACTGGCAATAGAAATCACCAAAGTACCAACTACAATATATTAACGTTGAGACTAGCAGTATTGTGTTAACTGAAAAAAAGTAAAACAAAAAAATATTTTTTTTTCAGACTGGGTCTCGCCCTGCTGCCCAGGCTGGACTGCAATGGTGTAACCTTGCATCCTGGGCTCAAACATCCTTCCGCTTAAGCCTCTCAAACAGCTGAGACTACAGGCATGCGCCACTATTTTTGTATTTTTTTGTAAAGACGCAGCTACCTTGCGCCCAGGCTGATCTTGAACTCCTGGACTCAAGCAAGCAATCTGCCTCATTGCAGGCATGAGGCACCACACACGGCCAATTAAGTTCATTAATCTCCACTTTCCTGGGTATGGCAAAGCCATACCCAGTATCTGCTACTCTGAATTCAACACGTTTCAGATATGCTACTCTGAATTCAACGTTTTACATCTATAGCTAGACTTTCCAAAAAGTATAGTCTAAGGTAAATAATAAATGGCTAATGAGATTCGACAGTGGCTTTCTGAAGGTTTTGTTAGGACAAACCTAGAATACTTACTTCAGACTTTGCACCATTACTTGATAAACCTGTTCCACGGCTTGTTTCTTTGGCTACAGGAACAGTTCTGAGGCTAGCTGGCAATTCAATGTTAGTTGTTCCTAAAGCTTTCGCTGCATTAGCTTTTGCTATTTCTAACAGCTCCATTCGATCTAAAAATAAAAATAAATTTAAATACTCATTAACCTGGTAGTTATTTCCCCCCAAGAGAACTTAGAATTACAAAACAAGATGCTATTTTCTGGTATTAAATATGTTAAGTCATTTGCTTTATAACATGTAAAGCAAGTTTGCCCCGGTTTGAGCTGTGCTGGTCCACCTATACACGGATGTTTTCCTCCTCCTAAATGCAGGCAAAGTACTACAGTATTTGAGAGACTGGAAACCTCAAGTGTGCGGAGGTTCCATATTGGTCCTGCAACCAATCCCCCGAGGAAACGGAGGGGTAACTGTGTAACTTCATTCACTGAAAATTCTATTCTCTATCTCTACTGAAGAGAATAAAATTCTTAAATTATCTCAATTTCAGTTTTCCTGACCAAAGGCCTGAGAACGTCCTGTTATTTTGTTTGTTTTTACATTGTATTTAATTTTCTCTAGTTAACAATCAACGTCATTATTACTTTGCTTTCTCTTCAAAGTGTATTTCTGAAAACCGGGGTTTTCTGCAATAGATTCTTTATATGGTACAATTATCACAACTACTGAACTAATACTGATACACTTCCAAAGTGTATTTCTACCACCACTCCTGGCCAATAGTTTGTATTTTTAGTAGAGACAGGGTCTCCACTATGTTGGCCAGGCTGGTCTATCTGGAACGCCTGGCCTCAAGTGGCCTCCCACCTCCGCCTCCCCAAATGCTGGGATTACAGGCACGAGCCACCCAGCCCGGTAAGTCATTTAAGATACTGGACAATTCAATCTTGTTCAATAACAACGTCTACTAAAAAAAACTTTTTTTTTTTTTTTTTTTTTTTAAATTGAGACGAAGTCTTGCTATGTTGCCTTACCAGGCGGGAATGCAGTGGCGCGGTCTCGGCTCACTGCAACTTCTGCCTCCCGGGTTCAAGCAATTCTCCTGCCTCATCCTCCCGTGTAGTTGGGACTACAGGCGTGCGCCACCGCACCCAACTAATTTTTGTATTTTTTTAGTAGAGTCGGGGTTTCACCATGTTGGCCAGGATGGTCTTGATCTCTTAACCTCCTGATCCACCCGCCTCTGCCTCCCAAAGTGCCGGGATTACGGGCGTGAGCCACTGCGCCCGGCCAAAGGCGTGTTTTCATGATGTTCTTCCCAATCAATAAGTAACTTAGAAACTAACTTAATCATAACATTTAGAAGGCTCCACCCACTAAGAAAATAGGTTCCCTCCATTCTGTGCCATTTAACATCCAGTTGAACTTTAAAGGGAAAGAATGATGTCCGTTTACATACAGATACAGTAATGTCCTCCCGCTTTCCTCCAATGAAAAACATTTCGGGAATACTGAAACTACAAGGCAATTTTGGTTCCCTAGCCTCCTTTTATACTGTCGCCATAGATTACCAAAAATGGAAAGATAAGTGACGCACCTTTTTCACTTAAGCGAAAGGGGGTTCTGCTCCGCGACCTTGTCCTGGATCTGTCCCTCCATCTGCCGTAATCCTCTGGGTACACGGTGCGACCGAAACCGTAGTAGCGCCGCCCCCGCGCGATCGCGTACGCCCTTCCGTAGTACGACCTTCCCCGGGAGCGCGACCTGCTACGGGAACGGGACCGGGACCGGTACCGGTACCGCGAAGGAGACCGGTAATATCTCCCAGACAGCCCGTAGCGCCTCTCTCGGTACCGGCGGCTGCCGGATCGCGACCGGCTCCGCGAGTATGACCGTGAGTAGCGCCTGTACTTCCGCTGGTGGCGCCTTCTGGAACGGGACCTTGACCGGCTCCTCCAACTCCGACTCCGGCTCCTGGAAAACCGACTGGAAACACGGGAATGGGACCGAGAGCTTCTGGAAAAAGAGCGGCTCCTAGATCGCGACGACAGCCGGCTGGACTCGCCCGACCGCGAGGTCGACGGCGAATCCTTCTGCGGCGAGCCGGGCCACATGTCGTTCACATAGTTGGACATCTTCACCTACGGCTTTACCCTGCGCTTTCTCAGAAAAAGATCCCGCAAGCCTCCACTCAGGACTTCCTAAAAAAGCAAGAGAAAAAAAACAAATCAAGTCCCGGAAGCAGGCGCCAGGCCGCCCGGAAGCCACAGCAGGACGCCCTCCCGGAGGCGGAGCCAAGGCGCAGGCAGCGGTGCCGCGAAGGGAGCCGAGCCCCAGAAACACTGTTCAGGCCGGGCGCGGTGACTCACGCCTGCAATCCTAGCACTTTGGAAGGCCGAGGTGGGTGGATCACCTGAGGTCAGGAGTTCAAGACCAGCCTGGCCAACATGGTGAAACCCCATCTTAAAAAAAAAAAAAAAAAAACTCCGTTCAGCACACTGACGCCGCAGCCCAGAATCGAAACGATGCCTTCCCCAAATGCGGGGCCCGGCACGTCTCCTGACCCTCACTCCTGAGCGACCACTGCAAGGTCGACCCTGTCAGCAGATAACTTACCGCAGGCTGTGGACGCCTCCCTCACGACTGAAAGAAAGGTCCAACAGACGCCTTCCTTTAGGAATGTAGGATGAAAAGGGGCTTTTCGTGCCTATTCTCGAAGAAGGAATCCCACAACCTCCACATCCGACGTCCGGACGCTCACTGAGAGGATACGTCAGCAGACTTGCCGAAAGTACCAGAAGCTGGTCCCGGCGCATGCGCAGAGACGGTGCTGCGGCGGGCGTGGCTCTCCTCTCGCCCAACCACCGCCCTGCCTCCTCCCTCCCCAAGCCCCGCCCTGTGCCTCGCGCCAACGCCCACAGGGTGCGCATGTGCGGTGGGGCTCCAGAGGGCGGTGCTTGGTACATCCGGGTGTCCCGTCGCCCTTGGCTTTTTTTTTTTTTTTTCAAATTTGAGATGATTGCATGATCCACCGGCTCACGAGAAAACTTTAAAGATGGAATATCCCCGCGGGGCGTTACACCAGGCTCTGGCATCACTGCCTGGGCGGGGCTGGATGTTAGTGCCGGGCGGGGGTGGGGCAGGGAGAGGAACGGCTGCAGGCTGGAGAGGGCTTGGAGCCCTGGCAGTCTGAGTGGCTGGTGCCCACTGGGTGGTGGCCGCCATCCACTGGCAAGCCGCAGATCCGGGCTGAGCGTCCCTGTACCCTTCCTGGCTTCTTCCTCCTGTCCTGGTCCCGCGGCGCTGGGAGAAGGTGACTGCATCCACACCCTACCAGGAAGAAGACCGCGCCCTCCCGGGACACCCCAACATCCCTGGGAATGCAGTATTAACGTGGAAAAGGTGTTTTACTTATGTTTTGACTAGCTCGAAACAAAATAAAGACAACTGACTTTTAATCTAGGAGAAAGAATGAAGTCTGAGATTATCTCTTCCAAAAACTGTGCTTGGTGTAAGAGTGTAAAGGTGACTATTTTACTTCCAGGGATCTACAAATGGGATGCGTTTCAAACACTTCTTGTTGTTATAAAGTGTCAGGTTTCCGTATGCAAGCCTCGAGCCTGAAAGTCTGAAGTCCTGCTTGCCTCGGCTAATCGTCTCCCCACCCTCTGCTTTGGACCTGAAGGCCAAGGGAACCAGCAAGGGCTGCTGCTGTTAAAGGTTGTAGCTGGGTATGAGCAGAGAATGGGAGCCAGATGAAGAGTGAAATATCAGCTGTAATTGCCTGGAGGAAAAGTGTAAACTGGCAACTTAAACAAAAGCAGGGCATGTAAAAGTAAATGAGTCCAGTGAATTTGAGCACGGTTAGACAGAAAATCATAGAAACAGACTTTTTGAGATGTGGTTTAAGTAGTAGGGGCGACTGCATAAAGGTGAAGAAGGCGTGGGGCTGAAAGTGTGTGAGGTGTAGAGAGAACTTCGGAGGTTGTGAGAGCTAGAGAGTAAATGGTGCATAGCCTGTGATTTTGAGGGATTTAAAGCGTATTAGGGCAGCAGCTGCTGCTGCTGCGCGTTGGTCATGAGGGCCAGCCCAGGACTGTTAGGTACGTTGTGGGGATAAAAAGCCTACAGGCCGTGGGCCTGGCTCCTGTGTAAGAATCCCAACTGCAAAGCCCTGGATTTTTGCAGTGTATAATGAAAAGTGTTGAGACAAGTTGGGGAGAGCTAGGGAGGGAGCAATTTTTAGAGCTGTTTTTAAGGATCAGAAGGAGGCATGAGGAAAGGATTTAGGATTAATAGGGTTGGATAAGTTTTCTTTTCTTTGCTTTCTTTTTTTTTTTTGAGACAGAGTTTCACTCTTGTTGCCCAGGCTGGAGTGCAATGGCACGATGTCTGCTCACTGCAACCTCCGCTTCCTGGGTTCAAGCGATTCTCCTGCCTCAGCCTCCCTAGTAGCTGGGTTACAGGCGCCCACCACCATACCCGGCTAATGGATAAGTTTTCTTTAGTGAGTTTATACAATGGCTTAGTTAGAGCAGCAAAACCTGGTATCCAGAGGTGAAAGTAGCAACTACACCATCGAAGGAGAGAAGCTGTTTGGTGGATGGGGTTGGGGTTTGGGAAGTTAACCGGATACGGTTGGCAGGGAGAGCGCGTGTATGCTTGGTGAAAGAGTATAACAGATGGGGAAGAAATTTGGGCTTTGGAAGCGGATACATGATACGCCTTTGTGTACAGATGCTGAAGAAGCATGAGGGTGAATTAAAAGGCCATGTTGCAATAGACGGGTGATAATAGGCTTATACCTTTTAAAGCCTGTTGTGGGATTGGGTACTGGGGCTGGGCAGGATAAGGGTGGTTAGGTTTTAAGGGGATGATGAGGGGTTAGTGACTTGCAGCAACAGATGGGAAGGTGGTGTTTGACACCCTAGGGTTAAAGTAGGGGGACATAAGGGGAGCTACTCAGGGAGGTACGGGTTCAGGAAAGAGGGAGGCAATGAGGTGTGGCTGTAGCCCAGGAATAGTGAAGGAGGCAGGTAATTTTGCTAAGATGTCTTGACCTAACAGGTGAACTGGACAAGAGGAAATGATTAGATAAGAATGTGGAAAGGAGTGCTGGCCTAATTGATACCAGACGTGGGGAGTTTTGAGAGACCTGGAGGCCTTGCCGTTAATTTCCCCAACAGTTACTGGGGGCCGAGGCGACAGGTCCTTGAAAAGAAGGGGATGGGGTGGGGGTGGGATCAGCCAAGGCAGGCAGGACTTTAGACTTTCTGTGTCTGTGCTTGCACATGGAGGCCTGATAGATAGTTTTGGGCTCTTGGTTATGAATAGGAAAGGATGGAAGGAGTCTCTCTAGACGGTTCACAGTATCAGTCAAATGTGTGCTTAAAAAATGGTGACCAGAAAAACCCTGGATTTTTTTTTTTTTTTTTTGAGACGGAGTTTCGCTCTTTTTACCCAGGCTGGAGTGCAATGGCGCGATCTCGGCTCACTGCAACCTCCGCCTCCTGGGTTCAGGCAATTCTCCTGCCTCAGCCTCCTGAGTAGCTGGGATTACAGGCACGCACCACCATGCCCAGCTAATTTTTTGTAGTTTTAGTAGAGACGGGGTTTCACCATGTTGACCAGGATGGTCTCGATCTCTTGACCTCGTGATCCACCCGCCTTTGTTTCTTATTTTTATATTTGTCAGGTTTAAGTAAAACAATGCATTACCAGTACAACTGGTTTAATATTTGCAAAACATACAAAATTACAAAATACGGGTGCATACAAAAATACAAAATACAGGTGTAAAAAATACCATAGGAAACATTTTCCCAATTGCAAAACATATCAAAATATATAAACATGTACGAAACATTTTATTGGCCGCTGGTGCTTGGCTGTGGATCATTGATGTCATCATCTGAGGCAGCAGTTGGGGTTACCGGAGTTGGTTTTTTCATAAGCATGGTGAGCTTTGTCTGAATTGTATGTTTCTTTTTTTCTTCATAAATTTCACGATACGGACGAAACACATCGTGCGCCATCCGTTCAATCCTTGCAAATCGTTCGATGTTTGGGTCCACTGCTTCGAAATGTATAAGAAGTTTATTGGGAGGGGTTTGATGAAAAATATCCAAGACACAAAACACAAATTGCTGTACTGAGTCTGGGATAACAGTTGAAATGGTGCACGCGGAGATGGTAGTGCTGCCGGAAGCTGGTCCGCACTGTCGTACGCCCAGCTGGGCAACGTTTGCACTGCCAGACGCGGAGCAGTCGTGGCTAGCGATTGTGGTCGTAAAGTCGAATGGTCGTAAGTTGCATAGGTCGTAAGTCGATCAATACCTGTGTGTCCTTCATTATGGTAAGCAAACCAAAGGCCTCCCAAATGTGTCCATGCCTTAATTTCCTGGAACCTGTGAATATGTTACCTTAGGGTGGCAAAAGGAATTATTCAGATGTAATTAAGGTTAAGGACCTGGAGATGAGATTATCCTGAAGTATCTGGGTGGACCCAATCTAATCTCAGGAGAGAGTCAAAGCATGAGAAGAATTCCATGCCCTGTTGCTGCCTCTGAAATGTAGGGGCTTTTGTGCAAGGGCAAAGAGAGAACTTTAGGAGCTAGTGGTGGCTTACAGCTGACTGCCAGGAAGCAGACCTCAATTCTACACCATAGAACTGAATTTGGCCAACACCTGGATACGCAAGTTTTGGGGCTCTTCCACAGAGCCTGCAAAAAGAAACAAAATGTGGCTGACACCTTGACTTATCCAGCTTGGGCAACAAGAGCAAAATGCCGTCTCAAAAAAAAAAAAGAACTATGAGATATTAAATTTGAGTTGTTTTAAGCCACTAAGATCATGGTTATTTATTACCACAGCAATAGGAAAATAAAACAATCAGAATATATAGTTTTATTTATTTATTTTTTGAGACAGGGTCTTGCTTTTTTGCCTGGAGTGCAATGGTACAGTCACAGCTCACTGCAGCCTCACCTTCTCCGGCTGAAGTGATCCTCCCACCTCAATTGCCTGAGGAGCTGTGACTGCAGGCCTGTATCACTACGCCTAGCTAATTTTGTTTAAGTTTTTGTAGAGAAAGGATCTTCATTATGCGGCTAAGGCTAGTCAGGAACTCCTAGGCTCAAGGGATCCTCCCACTTCAACCTCCCCAGTTGATGGGATT